TTGAAAAACATCTAATCTTTGGGGGAAGTGGGTTTGTTGTGCAAGACCCCTCAGTCAGCTATTGTTGCACAACCTGATTTTGTTGCGAGGTGACTGAATCCCACCAAAAAATAGCAGCGGTCTGGAAGCACCAGTAATCACACAATCCCTTCCAGCTATCTTATGTCTGATCTTGAGAGTGTGCTATCAACTTCCTCAAAGCCGACACCTGCCAAAGGTGTCTAAAAATTACCTTCAGACTGTATTAACTTGCCTGCACCGGGGTAAAACAGGCTGGTTCAGAAAGTCGTTATTATTATTGTTTATTTGGCCTCCTTTTTTTGTAGGTGGCGCTGTGGGTAAAAGCCTCAGCGCCTAGGGCTTGCCGATCGAAAGGTCGGCGGTTCGAATCCCCGCGGCGGGGTGCGCTCCCGTTGCTCGGTCCCAGCGCCTGCCAACCTAGCAGTTCGAAAGCACCCCCGGGTGCAAGTAGATAAATAGGGACCGCTTACAAGCGGGAAGGTAAACAGCGTTTCCGTGTGCGGCTCTGGCTCGCCAGAGCAGCGATGTCACGCTGGCCACGTGACCCGGAAGTGTCTCCGGACAGCGCTGGCCCCCGGCCTCTTGAGTGAGATGGGCGCACAACCCTAGAGTCTGGCAAGACTGGCCCGTACGGGCAGGGGTACCTTTACCTTTACCTTTTGTAAATGGCTGAAGGAGTACGACGATCAAGAAGCCATGCCCTGCTGACCTCCACTGAAAGAGAATATTGTCTCACTGTGGGGAGGTCATCTTAAAGACGACTGAGACAAACCCTGCTAGATATTTGACTGTGGATTCACCATATCAAAGAGAGTGAGTGAGAGAGAAATTCACTGTCGTCAGCCGTATGGTGCAAACGATCCCAATGCTTTTAAGTGTAGGATTTATTCTTCCCGGCTTGCAAAACAGATGCCACAAAATGTCCCCAGATGTCCATGAGATGCTTCCCAGGGTGTTCTTCCCTTGAAAAACTCAAAGATCATTCCAAGGTGTGCAAATGTTTGCACTAAACGCTTGATTTAGATGTGGCTCCCGCATCCTGTTTTTATTTCTGTTTGGGCATGGTGGGAAGACTAGACTTTGGATGGAGGGTATGACATGGCTATTTGTTTGTTTCTGCTGACTTTGGCACATGACCACATCCTGCTTCTAGGAACGATGCACCTTGGCCCTCGACACGGCCAGCTGGTGGTGCACCCTCCGAAGGGATTATCCTCCGTCAGAACAAATTGTTTTCATTCTCGGGCAGAAGCCAGCAGACATCTACAATAAATGGTCCAAGATCCTGGAATTTCAGGACTCTGAAAGAAGAGAGCCAGAGAGTCAGAATTCAGAATGGGATTAGAAGTCTAATCTCTGTTCCCGACTGTATTTTATGAAGGACTCCATCAATTAAACCAGCCTCTGACATGAATCTGTTCCAGGTGTGTGTTATCTCCTACTCCATAGAGCAGTTTTCTGCCTTCTGGGGGCCGTGTGTCAGTGGTGGGTGGGGCCTGAGGCAAAACTGGGCAGATCAAGAGATGTAACTCTTTCCAGAGTACGCATCAGAGTACAAAGGACAAAAATCCCACCATGGAGCATTTGGTTACAGAGCACCAAATGTAGCATCTTCAAAAGGACAGGGCGCGTGAAGGTGGAGAGACAGGGACACCCTGGCTGGAAAGGAAGGAGGCAGCAGCAAGGGAAACACACACACACACACAGAGAGAGAGAGAGAGAGAGAGAGAGAGAGAGAGAGAACTTCATATATCAGCTGCTGCTGAACTACAATTTATTTGTTGCTTTTATGCTCTGCCCTTTTATCCCTGGAGCTTAAGGTACATGGGTTCTCCCCCTTATCATTTATACTCAACAAAAATTCAGTGAGATGGGTGGGGGGAGAGAGAAACCAGCCCAAGGTCACCCAGTGAGCTTCATGGCTAACTCTGGTCTCCCAGACCCTAATACAACACTCTAACCTCCTTAGTGTCATGTCATCCCTGACCATTGGGCATGCTGGCTGGGAGCTGGAGAGTGCTTGGCACTAAACAAAGGTGGAAACATTCCTCTTTCTTTATTATAACTTCTATGAGGTGCTCGGTGCTGTAGAGATGCAAAATTATCACCATCATCATTATTATTATACATATCGTTATTATTGCTGGTGACATCGAATGGCAGTGGCTCTGCAGGATTTCAGACAGGGTGACCTGGAGTTGCCAGGGATTGAACCAGGAGCCTTCTGCTCTACTAGAGTGGGGAAACCCAGCCAGAGTTATTATTAGAAACCTTCAGAGACACTAGGAGATCTCCTCCAGCACCCAAAACACACCCTCCCCTTGCTGAAGTTGAAAGAAAGATTCTGTTGAAAGAAAGATTCTGCCATAGCCAATAGAAAAGATTGTAATGTGTGCTTAGTTGCTGGGGATGTGGGGTGGCCGAGACAGCTTCTCTGGTTTGCAAATGTGCCCCCAAATATGAAAAAGGGCCCCTGCTCTATATGATGTGGCAGAAAACTTGGGTTTGCAACTGAGTCTTTACTTGGCACTGATGCCAAAACTCCACGTTCTGGGGACATCTATGGCCACCACCAACCTGTGTTTCTCTCTGCGTCTCCCTGGCACATTGTGGCATAATGTAATTAATTAATTAAACTCTTTTCATCCTGTCCTTCAGTCAAGGGCTGTCAGGGGCAGCTCGCGGGATTTTTAAAGCAATAAACACGTTGAAATCGGAAAACAAGTGAAACAATAAATCGCTGGAACAGAATTGGTTGGCAGTAAACCAACGACAAGAGCAGATATTATAAAAAGCTAGGGAGAATAATGTACACTTATGTTTCTTCACTTCCTGCCAGGAAAATGCTAATAAAGTGACATCACATGGACATTTTTTCAATGATACGTCACCAGGGAGATATGGAGGAGAATGTGGATCATTGGCACCTATGTGTTTCCCTGTAACACGTAATTTGGGTCAAAGCTACAGCTTATTCTCATGTTCTGATGGCTGTATCATAATATGTTTCCAATTTACTACCGCAGGTAGTTGGGCATTAGTCATTGCAACTGGTAACAGCTGGGAGCCTTATCCTCCACAAATTCATCTAATCCCTCTTAAGGCCATCAGAGTTGGTGGCCATCGCCAGATATCACAGTAGTAAACTCCATATTTTAACAAAATGGTGTGCGTAAAAAGTACTTCCTTTCTTCTGTCCTAAAACCTTCAACATTCCGCCTCATTAGATGTCCCCCAACCCAACCCACCGGTCATTTGTAGGGTTCCCATGTTGTCAGTCGAATTTCTACCCCACAACTACATCCACTCAGAAATCCTAGGAAGTAAATAATTGTGCAGTTCTCCTCAATGTATAGCCAGATCAACGGTTATATGATCACTGTGGTGGCTATCCACATTCAGCATCCATCATGAGAGTTGGTAAGTTAAAGTTAATCAGTAACATTTGGTTCTTTAACTTGTTCTTTCATTTTTCATATTTTCCCCTTGGATATTCCTAGGCTGGCTTTTCAGGCTACGCTTTTAAAGGTTTTCAGGTAATTTGCATAGAAATACTTAAGGCCTCATGGCTGACTTGAGCTTTCTCATGAAGCTCACATTTCAGTGAAGAGTTCAGATACAGAACTGAGACCAACATATATAAAAGGCCCAGAATTGTTTCTGGTTGACTCATCATCATGGTTATAGTTCATGTGAAAGGTCCTCTCCCCTCAAAAAAGTTAAAGCTATTTGAAAGTATGGATTAAAATCAGAGACATTTTGGTTTAAAGATAAATTGAATGCCATTGGTAGGACCTCATTCTTTTGGATCTTTTGGGTGCTGCTGTGGTGTAAACCACTGAGCCTCTTGGGCTTGCCAATTGGAAGGTTGGTGGTTCAAATCCCTGTGACGGGGTGAGCTCCTGCTGCTCGGTCCCAGCTCCTGCCAACCTAGCAGTTCGAAAGCACATCAAAGTGCAAGTAGATAAATATGCTGCTCCGGCAGGAAGGTAAACGGCATTTCAGTGTGCTGCCCTGGTTTTGCCAGAAGCGGCTTAGTCATGTTGGCCACATGACCCGGAAAAACTGTCTGCGGACAAACGTTGGTTCCCTCGGCCATTAAAACAAGATGAGCGCTGCAACCCCAGAGTCGTTTGCGGCTGGACTTAACTGTCAGGCACTGGCAGAGGAATGGGAGTGCGGAGGGAGCGGACCGTCCCCGGCACCATTATTCTGGTAGGGTGCCATCGTGGCGGCCCCCCCAGACACGTGCTGTACACCCCCACATGCGCCGGGCCCCCGCAGGGACCCGTCACGCCCCCACCTGCTCTCCTCCCCCGGTAGCAGAGCATGCAGCTTCGCCACTGCTGTCAGGGGTCCTTTACCTTTACCTTTTTTACCTGACACTTTCCCTTCTCTTCTCCTAGAAAAGACTTCCCTATGATTTTTATACAATGTCACTTAAAGTAAGAACAGGATTAATTTTACACTGCAGTCATTCTACGCAATGGTGTGATTAATATTTTGCTAGAGGCTGAAACCTATTCAGGCTTCTTTCCTACCATAATGCAAAATACATTCCACCAAGCATCAACCCCAAAACAATATTTCTGTAGCTCGCAGGAATATTAAGTTTTAAGCGGTTCTTCCAGAAACAAAGCTTTCCATGCAAATGGCCTGTAAACCCTGAAAACAATACCACAGGCCTGCTAATTTATTTGTTTGGAAAATGCAGCTCAAGTAGGACATCTCATTTCAAGAACATCTTCGGGGATAATGGTAAATTATAAACTGTTCATGATTGTAGGCAATAGAAAGTGCAATATATATGGTCAGCCCTGACAATGGCAGAAGTTGCTTAAACAGGGCAATAAAATTACCTAGAAGGGAACTCTAGAATAAAGTCACAAAAATATGCCATAATCAAAAGCAAGCCAAGGACTGATGCGATGCTTTCCTTTTTTAGGAATCATTTCCTTTTAAACCACAACATGAACATCTGTAATCAAAGCATTCTGCTTTATTTTTAAAAAAATAACAAAATCATCAGGTTAATCCAGGTATTCATCTGGAGAATCCCAAGGACACAAAATGGATGGAAGTAAGAGATTTAACAAAGGAATGTAGTAGCTGCTTATCTCTTTAAAATACTGTCTTTGAAGAAAATCTGCTGTTCAAAAGAAATATATGTGAGGGTTTTATCAACTTTGATTTGGATCACTAAATAAGAGCCATTGGTAGGCTGAGTTGAAAACTCTGGATCAGTACTGCAAAGAGTATAAACTCATTTATGTCCAAATTGGAAAAAGGCGGAGTAGGGCTCTATATACTTATTATTTGTAGTATTAATTTTAATGCTCTATTTACCAAGTCAGACCACTGCTTCATTGAGCTCAGTACTGTCTCCTCTGACCGGGAGTGGCTTTCTGGGGTATCAGGCAGAAATGTTTCTCAACACAGGAAACTACCTCTGGTTTGGGGAAGGTCAGAAATGAAATATTTTACCATTGTTCCACACTATCCTGTGTGAGAGAGTGTTCCTTGCCCAGTCACCTTCCCATCAGCCTTTAAAATCTTACCATTCCCACCTTCTTAATTAATGCACCTCTTTGAAGTCAGTGTATAGAAATGACATTTTTGTTTCAGAGTTCTTCTTTTCCTAACCAAAATAGTTACATATTCAGACAGGATGATTTCACAATGAGGATAACAAGGAGAAGTAAAATCGTAGAACTCTGAAGATGGCACATCAATTTCCAGACAAAAATGAAAACCTGTAAGGAGGAAATGTATATTTATGTCATACAGCTCCAGAACTTCTAAAAACTGCTGACTAATAGCAATGCAATCTTAATACTTTGCCACTTTTCTTGTTTGCAGAGGATAATAGCAGAGGTTCCCCCCTCCCCCAAAAAGAACTATAAATAAAGGTAAAGGTAAAGGTATCCCTGACGACTCTGGGGTTGCGACGCTCATCTCGCTTTACTGGCCAAGGGAGCTGGTGTTTGTCCGCAGACAGCTTCTCAGTCATGTGGCCAGCATGACTAAGCCGCTTCTGGCAAACCAGAGCAGCACACAGAAACGCCGTTTACCTTACCGTTGAAGCGGTATCTATTTATCTACTTGCACTTTGATGTCCTTTCGAACTGCTAGGTTGGCAGGAGCAGGGACCGAGCAACAGGAGCTCACTCTGTCGCGAACTGCCAACCTTCTGATCGGCAAGCCCAAAGCTCAGTGGTTTAGACCACAGCGCCAACCGCGTCCCTTAAACTATAACTAGGTAGACATTAAAAAAAGAATAAAATCCTTTGCTTTGAATTCTTGTAGTAAAAGATTTTGTCTCATTATTTAGTTTTATATTCTCCTAGTTAAGTTAACTTTGACTCTTCACTCTTTAAAGTTGGGGATAATTACCCTTATTAGGCCCACAATTAGTCCTGATAATAATGATTAATAATGACAATAAGTTACATGACTAATAACCAAAGTATAAGTACAGACTATGGCTTGTATCTAGCTAAGTTCTACTCAGGGTAGACCCACTGAAATTAATGGACATATTTTTTTTATTATTACATTTCTATCCCACCTTTCCTCCAAGGAGCTCAATGTGACATACATGGTTTGCCCCGCTCTCTGTTTTACTCTCACAACAACCCTGTAAGGCAGGTTAGACTGATAGATGGGTGACTGGTCCAAGGCGAACTTCATGGCTGAGTGGGGATTTGAACTCTGGTCTCCAAGGTCCTAGTCCAACACTCTAACCACTGCGCCATGCTGACTCTTACCACCAGGTATCATATAAGTCTGTGCCTGACAGGCATTTTGTGCTGGCTTAGGTATTTATTTGCAGTATTGTAAGGACAGCCCCAGAAGAACTCAAGCTTCCAGCTGGTTAATCATGCCCATTAATTCCAATGGATCTGTTCTGAGCATGATTAACACTGGACACAGCTCTTAAAAACACTTTAAATGAACCAGTATTGAGCAGATGCTATAAGCTATATAAGTTGGAAAATACAACTATAAAAACAGCTTCAAATGCAATCTATATCTTATTAAGATTAACAGCAAAGTTTCCATTGAATTCAATGGATCTAGGTTTTGCCTTCAACAAATAAGCCTTTTTGCTCCAAGCTTGCATGTGTGCTCTTGGTATTGCTATGGAGTCACTGGTCTGCAAAGGTATGAAGTGTCTCCATCGCATTCAGGGTTGGGGCCAAGCACATGACTATGAAACACATGGTAACTGCTTGAAATCTCATGGGTAATAGCTCCCTGCCTATGGTCCTGTGCAGTCAGGGTCTTGATTCCAGCCTATCTCACCTATGCTGGTCTACACAGGCTGGCAGTGCATGCTGTCCAGCTTTTGGAAACCCAAAACTGTGACGCACTTCTTCTGGGATGTACTCCTGGGTGAGTCATGTGACCCACGCCTCACTCTCCCAAAAAAGTACTTTTGGGGGTGAGAGCACAGCAACCAAAATGGGATGTCCTGTTTTTTCTGGGGCAGGTATGACTGTGGCTGTCCAGGGTCTCAGCCCAGAAGACTTTCCTCACTTTATCTACTTGCACTTTGACGTGCTTTCGAATTGCTATGTTGGCAGGAGCTGGGACTGAGCAACGGGAGCTCACCCCATTGCAGGGATTTGAACCGCCGACCTTCTGATTGGCAAGTCCTAGGCTCTGTGGTTTAACCCACAGCGCCACCCGCGTCCCATCCACTTCATTAATAGCTGCCAAAGACTGAACTTGGGGACAAGCAAAGCATAACCACTGAGCCCTGGGCTTTCCCCCACTTTTTGAGAAAAGATACAGGCGAATGAGGAAGGTATCAACTTACCGTATCCTTCAGTAGGCTTTGCAGATCAAAAACTGTGCAGGTCTACTATAGTTCAAACAGTCCTGGCAGGTATTTATTCAACATATTCTAAGGCCGGAGATTCTTTCACATTTTGCTAATTCTTCCAACAACTCTAAACTGCTCTAAGAATTGGAAAGACTTCTGATTATCAAGGCTGCTTTGGAACAGTGCAATCTGCTGTGATTCCTGCAGGCCCAGGACTTTTCAAAGGAATTTGTAGACATTAAAGGAAAAACAGGGGAAGGGGGGGGACAAGCCAACGTCTTCTTTTTGCATCCTACATAACCAACGGCTTATGATTGCCTAAGGATGTATTTACTGTACAACTTTGTTGATGCCCATTTGCCTACTGATTAGAGGATAGAAGATTTGTGAGGGATTAGAAAAGGCAAATGCCGAAAATATCAAGGCCAAGAACAAATGCGGCAAGGACCAGTTCTATACATGAATGGCCTATTAAGGGATAAGCATATGGAACAGGGAAATCTCTGGGATCAGGAAAAATAAACAGAATGGATAGTCTTCTGCTTTGAAGGTAAAGGTCATGACGGTGCCATCCAACCTCCACATTTCGAAGCTTTTGAAATTACAGCCACAGATCCCTGTGCAGGAGGTAGGAGGACTGAGGCAGCAGCTGTTGTCCCTGAAAAGTGCCAAGAAAAAGTTGACTAGGAGAAGAAGTTGTCAGACGTCACATTGTTGAAAAACATGCTCTTGGTGCTATTCTAGAATAGCCTTGGCAAAATAGACTTGCAACATTTATCCATTTTGCATTAAAACTTCTAAATGGCTCATAAGAAATATTAAAATTATCACTAAAAACAAGTACAGTGGTACTTTGGGTTAAGTACTTAATAATTCTGGCGGTCCGTACTTAACCTGAAACTGTTCTTAACCTGAAGACCACTTTAGCTAATGGGGCCTCCTGCTGCTGCCGCCACACGATTTCTGTTCTCATCCTGAAGCAAAGTTCTTAACCTGAAGCACTAGTTCTGGGTTAGTGGAGTATGTAACCTGAAGCGTATGTAACCTGAGGTACCACTGTAATTAGAAGCATTTAAAGGTAATAAAAATAACAGCGAACTAAAAAGAGATTAAAACACATCAACATCTATGTGTCCGGAGAGCTTGTCTTAACACATATGTTTCAAAGCAAGTGAAAGGAGTAATGTTAGGCCATCTGCTTGGTGTCAATAGGCAGGGAGTTCCATAGTTTAGGTGCTGTCACACTAAAAAGATCAGTTCCCCCCTCCCCCCCCCGAAGTGTGGAATGAATATTATCTGTCACCTATAAAAGCACCCGTTTCACACACCAAAGTGGTTGAGTGGGTTAAGGTGATCCCACAGGTAAACTGATCCCAATGTGTTCATTTACACACTCAAGCGAAACTACAGAAATATGCCTTTGTCAAAAGTTATAGATAAAATACAAATGTATAGGACAGGGTCAGGAACTTATCATGCACTTCAGCCCTTCAAAGAAAAAAAAAGGTAAGTATATTTTTCAGCGTGTGTCCAATAAATGGCTCTTTCCTAATTAGAAATTTCCATAAAGCTACACTCAGCTTTTAAAGTAAAAAAAGGCTCCTATGTGCTTTGCAAGGTGCTTGGCTCTCACTGGGAGCTGGATATATTTCTGCTGAGTTCGGCCATAAATGGGCCAACTACTGATGGCAAACAATATAATTGCCTTCTTTATTAAATTTCACAAGCAGAGAAATGTTTTAGATTCTTGTTGAACCTTTTAGAAAAAGGCATTAGCACCACAGCAGTGGAACTCAGGCTAGAGATGGATGAGCTTGCCCCCACTTGCCTCGAGTTGAAATAAACCCAGGCTGTTTCTGGAAAAGTCAGAAATCACTGGGTTTATTTTCTGAACTAGTTTGCCAGCCTTCCATGAACCGGAAGCTGCTTTATATCATAGAATCACAGTATCGTAGAGCTTTGGAAGGGGCCCGAGAATCATCTAGTCCAACCCCTTGCAATGCAGGAATCTCAACTCAATAATACACGACAGAGGGCCATCCAACCTCTGCTTAAAAACCTCCACGGAAGGAGAGTCCACCACTTCTTATGGGAGTCTGTTCCACTGTTGAACAGCTCTTACTCTCAGAAAGTTCTTCCTGATGTTTAGTCGGAATCTCCGTTCTTGTAACTTGAATCCATTGATTCAGGTCCTAACCTCCAGAGCAGGAGAAAACAAGCTTGCTCCATACTGCATGTGACAGCTCTTTACGACACGATGCGATAATCTTTATTGTCATTGTCCCATACAGAAACGAAATTGAAAATCTACACCAGACATTCAGAAACCAACAAGCCTGCTATCCCAGCTATCCCAGCCTGGTTAGCCCCCTAAAAACTCTGATATCCCATAATTAATACAGTGGTACCTCGCAAGACGAATGCCTCGCAAGACAAAAAACTCGCTAGACGAAAGGTTTTTTTTGTTTTTTGAGCTGCTTCGCAAGACGATTTTCCCTATGGGCTTGCTTCGCAAGACGGAAACGTCTTGCAAGTTTGTTTCCTTTTTCTTAACACCGTTAATACAGTTGCGACTTGACTTCGAGGAGCAACTCATAGAACGCGGTGTGGTAGCCTTTTTTGAGGTTTTTAAAGACTTTGGTGATTTTTGAAGCTTTTCCAAAACTTTCCCGAAACCGTGCTTCGCAAGACGAAAAAAATCGCAAGACGACAAAACTCGCGGAACGAATTAATTTCGTCTTGCGAGGCACCACTGTACAATAAACTCCCATAGAGACTACCTTACACTGCGTTTAAAACCAAAATCGCATTTGAATAGAAACTGTTTCTCAGGCGGCTAGTCCTTTAGATATCTTGCTCAAAAAATATCTGAAGATATCACCCAGAAGAGTTCTGCTGGGCAGCAAAGAGAGGGTGCAGTGGAGGTGGTGAAAGAACACTAGTAATAACACCTGATTTGTACTCTTCATGCAAACTCTGCTCAACGCTGGAATTCATCTCTAGAAGCGAAAACTTAAAAGCCACCTGACTTGCACATCTATGGCTTGCACTTTGCATCCCTATCAGCTTCAAGTGCTGGTGGGTCATCAGCACTCAGTGGAAGAGCACATGCACTGCATGCAAACAAACAAAACCCCAAACCCAAACTCATGTCCCATCCCTGGCTTCCCCAGGTAGTGTTGGGAAAGACGCATGTCTGAAAACCTGGAAATCCCAGTCAGTGCAGACAGTGGTCCAGGTTTGTACGAGACAGCATCCTGTTTCAGAAACTGTATTTTTGGTATTCATGCAAAAAAGGTGCACAAAGACTGTTGAAGCATAACGGTGTCTGAAAAAAGAAAAACGAATGCAAAGAAGTCTATAGCGTGCAGGGCATGAGCATGGGTGGAAGTGGGGCAGGGTGGGGGTGGAGAGAGCTGGTATTACTTTCAAAATTACTGCCTTGTTCCATTCTTCTGGGAAAGCTCAAGATCTATTTCTCTTTAGGGGGAGAAAAATTTGCCTGTCATGGTGAGCAATTTCATAATCCCCCCCCGATGGTCTGAATAGCTTTGGCTCAAACAGCCAAAGCTATTAGACCAAACTGAGGCATTTCTGTACCCCCCTGGGGTGCAGAATAAACCACAGGTGAACATCAAGTAAAGCAGGAATGAGTTAACACCTGTTGTTCACACCTGTTTCTAAGCTCTTCCCAGTTGTGAAATCCAACAACACACTGTGGTGTGTGTTCAAGCGCCAGGGCAATGGTGGTGGGGCCATTTGGTTGGATTTTACCCATCCGGTCCTCACGGGGCTGGGAAAGAAGTCAGCACCCAGGTGGAAAACAGCCAGGCAACTGGCCTCACTCACCATGCTTCTGGTATTCACACCCCACACAAACTGCAGTGTCATGAAATGTCTGTGCGAAAGAGATTTTATTATTCAGCTATTGAGGCAAATTGGGTTCTGTATTTCTTCCATATCAACAGGGAGAAATGGTTTCCCAAATCCTACTGAGAAAGCCACTACAGACTCTGCAGCTACCCCAAATTTTCTTGCCAGAGCTACTGGCTTGCAGGTTTTTACCTTCAACAGCCAGTTCTAAGTAAAAGTTTCAAACAGGAACATTTACCTCCCCAAGTAATGAAGCAGATGCAATTACTGCTAAGTGATCAATCGATGCATATTAATAGCCATTCATTCTATGACAGGGTGAAATGATGTTGGCTCTCTAATATATGCTGCAGAGAGCAATATTTCATGGGCATGAGAGACTGGATCTCCATTCACACCAGTTTGACTTGGGAATACCCACTTCTCCTTTCACACCAACATGAAACAAAAGGTTGTTTCTAATGCTGTGCAATTCCACCCCCTTTCTCTCCTCTCCCCATGCTACCCCACCTGCACAGGGGCGCCAGGTAGGGGGAGTGGGGGCAGGTCCCCCCCAAAATTAAGTGAAGGGGCCAGGCCCCCTAAAAGTTCCACGGCAGCTGGAACTTTGAGGTCACGGTAGCTGCAGTGAGATGGAGCAGGGTAGCTCAGTTGGTTAGAACACTGTGCTGATAACACCAAGGATTCAGGTACGATCCGCGTTTGGTCAGTTGCATATTTCTCCATGGCAGGGGGTTGCACTTAATGATCCTCAGGGTCCCTTCCAAATCTATAATTATATGATTCTCTGTGCCTGCTCCTGTAGCACAGGATGAAAGGCCAGGAAGCATATTCTCTAAATTCCAGCAAGGTGGAAAAAGAGGAGTTGTTTCTTAGACTGCTAACATCTGCACAAAGGTACCCAGATATTAGCAATGCACTTGGATAGCATTCATTACATTAGATGTTCTTTAACTGTAAAGGAATGAATGTAACTCAATGGTAGAACACCTGCTTTGCATTCAGAAGGACCCAGGTTCATTCCCCAACATCTTCAGGGAGGACTAGGGAAGATTCCTTGCCTGAAGCTCTGGAGAGTTACTTCAGTCAGTAGAGACAATACTGAGATAGATGGACTCCATGTAAGGCAGCTTCCTGTGTTTCTATGTAAGAATACGAGTAAGAGAAAGATTCCCCCTCCCTCTCTGGCTGCCTAAAAGAGATAAATTGCTTGTAGGTTCTTAAATTATGAAGAGTGAGCACCATTCACTTTTATTGACAATGCTGCAGTACTCTGTGGGAGAAACATTTTGCCACTACTCAGCACAAGCGATGGCAAGACAGGGGTACTTTGTCTAGGTTGGAGCTAGCTGGAAGGAACTATACAAAAACATTTCTTGATAATAAGACGTTATCAGTCTCCTGGGAACGCAGGCCGATAGTATGAACATGTTAATTTCACCTTCTTGCAAAATGCTCCCTAAAAAGTTGGTAGGCCTGAAGTCATAGATTGCAATCCAACACAGAGTCAAGCCCCTTTGTTGTTGCACTAGGTTCTGACAGCTCAATCCTATACACATAGAATAAAAGAGTTGAAAGGGACCACCAGGGTCATCCTCCTGCAATGCAGGAATCTTTTGGCCAACACGGGGCTCAAACCTACAACCCCGTGATGAAGAGTCTCATTCTTTACCAACTGAGCTATCAGTCAGTTGTAATTACCAAAGGATTGGACCTAGTTTATGTTAGTCATGCTTGGTTCCCAATGCATCAGTGTGACTTAGACAATCTTTTCAGTGATTTCAG